ATATAGTGCTTGATCATTAGACTCTGGAGACCAGGGTTCGATTCCCTGCTTGGCAATAGAAACTCAGGGCACTCTCAATCCTAGAAACCCCCATGAAACATTTACCTTAGGTGTGTCATAGATCAGGAAAATGTGGAATCACATACCAACAACATTCAACATATACATGAGGGAGAGGTTCACAGATTTGATGCCACCAGGATGCCATTGATTCCCAACTCTACTTCTCCAAGGAAGCTGTTCTGGTACTACACCAGAGTCTCATGCTAGTAATGGACTGGCTGAGTGAAAATAAACCAGTAATTAATCCAGACAAGACAGAAATGCAGAAATGCAAGGCAGAATATTCAAATTGTGCTGGATGGGTATACACTCCACATAAAATCTCAGGGTTGCAGCTTAAATGTACTTCTAGACTCAGAAGTGCAATTGCACAATTGAAATTAGCATGTCGGTTACACCCATTCCTGGATATGTTAGATCTTGGGACTGCCTTCAGAAACAAAATGCTATGGCCAGAATGTCGACAAAAATGGGCTATGTTTGTGTATATGTTTTCAGATTGCCTGCCAATTTCTTGGGCAAAGAACTCAGAGGTCATTTTACTAGCTCCTTCCTCTGAAATACAACCTGGTATTCCTTGGTGGTCTCTCATCCAAGAACAATGTTAACCAGGGTTTACCCTGCTTAGCTTCCAAGATCAGACAAGATCCAGTGCCTTTAGAGCAGTGGCTCTTAACATGTGGGCTGTGAGGATGAAAATCAGATCCGTAAGCCTCCTTCCTATTTATTTATTTAATTTCCACTCCTTTTGCGCTGTCTGCCACTCCTTCCCTGTCGCTGACCGTGGCATATGTTCTGTTTCAGTAACTAGAGCTGATGTGGTCTCTCCAATGCAATTTTCTGAATCAGCACCCCAAACCAAATCAAAAGTTGACCAAAAACTGATTTGTAACTCTACTAATGTACTAATGTTGGAGAGTGGTCCCTAGTAAAAAAAAAAGATTGGGAACCATTGCTTTAGAATATTCAAGCATGATGAGATGGGAGGAAAACACCTCTTTCTCTTCATGTAATGGGTGAGAAACTCTATCATACCCTTCACCTCTGCTTGACGAAAGCTTCAGATGTCTCTATTCTTGGGAAGGTAAACCTCTGAAAATGTTTGGTTTACTTTCTGTATCATTTCCATCTTGATAATATTCTTTTTCAGAAGGTGTTGTAACCTTAAGTCACATCTATACATGAAGTAATTGCAATCCAAGCAATATTATTTTCATTCCCTTTTCCAGTGGCACTGAGTTAAGCAAATTCACACATTATTTTCTTCTCCAATACCTGATAGTGTGTGTTAGGCAAGCTGAGAATTAGATCTGGCTGGTGAGCCTTTTGACCACAAACAGATTCAAATGAAGGCTACCTAGTTCTACATCCAACTCTAACAGGTGTACAGGACTCTAAATCCATGGAAGACACTGTGCCTTGCTACAAAGACTATGCTGATTATCTTGATCCTCACACATTTACTGTGTAGGATGATATTTATTGCTCACTTAATTTCTTCCCCTGAAGGAGAAATGGGTGCACATCTTTGTTGCTGCGAGGGTGGGGCTCACAGCAGCTTCAGACAAAGAAGGCATGTGCTTACTCATGTCCAAATTAAAACTTTCATGCCTGTGCTGCTCCTAATGTAAGGCAGCTTGTTCATGTTTCCCTGGAAAACCGGTGTGAAATCTCTGTTCCATATAATACTTGACATAATTGCATAGATCAGCATTTCTCAACCTGGAGGTCTGATGGTCATGGGGGTTCTGTGTGGGGTTCAGAATGTTCTTTGACTGTAGATGAACTATAAATTCCAGCAACTACAACTCCCAAATGTCAAGATCTATTTTCCCCAAACTCCACCAGTGTTCACATTTGGGCATATTGAGTATTTATGCCAAGTTCCATCATTGTTTGAGTCCACCGTGCTTTCTGGATGTAGATGAACTAAAACTCCAAAACTCAAGGTCAATGCCCTCCAAACCCTTCCAGTAGTTTCTGCTGGTCATGGGAGTTCTGTGTACCAACTTTGGTTCAATTCCATCATTGGTGGAGTTCAGAATGCTGTTCGTCGTAGGTGAACTATAAATGACAGCAACTACGACTCCCAAATGACAAAACCAACCCCACCAGTATTCAAATGTGGGTGTATTGGATATCTGCCAAATTTGGTCCAGCAAATGAAAATACATCCTGCATATCAGATATTTACATTAAGATTCATAACAATAGCAAAATTACCGTTATGAAGTAGCAATGAAAATAATTGTATGGGGGTCACCACAACATAAGGAACTGTATAAAGGGGTCACAGCATTAGCATAGTTGAGAACCACTGGCATAGATTATAGCTTTGTTACATGCAAACCAGCATGGCAGAGTAATACAAGTCTTGTGCTAGAGTTTGAATTCCTGCTCAGCTTTAGAAACACACTGGGTAAATTTGATAAAGTTATACTCATCCCTAAAGGCCAATGGAGCTTCTTAAACAGCAGTCAACCCCCCCCTGTTTAAGGAGCTCCATTGGCTGCTGTTCAGCTTCCGATCCCAATTCAAAGTGCAGGTTCTTACCTACAAAATCCTGAATGGTTTGGTACTCACCTACCTGTGTAAATTTATCTTCGATCATCTGGAGAGGCCCTGCTCTCGCTCCTGCCCCCTTTGCAGTCATGATTGGTGGGGACGAGGGAGAGGGCCTTCTCTGCGGTGGCCCTCTGACTCTGGAACTCACTCCCTAAAGATATCAAACAAGCCCCCACTTTGGCAGTCTTTAGAAGGAGCTTGAAAACATGGCTGTTCCAGTGCGCCTTCCCTGAATAAAGGAATAAGTGCCCTGGTCTGACCAATTTCCTTCTATATGTCCTCTGAAGCACTTTATCTATCCATTGGATTGATCTCCCTACATCACTCTCTAAAACCCCCATGTCTAGACATACCCTACTTGTACACGCCCAGTGTTTTAAAATTGTAATCTACTACATCTGGCCCTGTCATAGTGTTTTTAAATCTCTTGTGTGTTATTACTTTATGTTCTGTTATATTATTTATATTGTTTTATTTGCTTGCTTGTTTTGTGATGTACCGTTGTATCTGTATTTGATGGGCTTGGCCTCATGTAAGCCACCCCAAGTCCCTTCTGGGAGATGGTGGCGGGGTATAAATAAAGTATTATTATTATTATTATTATTATTATTATTATTATTATTATTATTAAAGGAAGACAATGGAAAACCTGATTAAAGCTTGTCCGCAAAGATAGGGTCACCATCAATCAGATTAGACTGGAAGGCACATGACAGCGCATGCCAAACCACTCTCTGCATGAAGGAAAACAAAGAGATCACCATCTTGCAGCAGGATCAGGTTTCCTCGCCATAGATCTGTAAGGAAGGGCGGACAGATCAAGGGCTGGACTCAGTTCACACGCAGAAGCATTAATTAACAGTCTTGCACAAATCTCACACGAGTACCAGCGATAAGCAAAGCAGTGCCACAGTTCCCAAGAAGTTGTCTAACCATTTTGATTCACTCAAGTCACAATCAAAGGCTGCACAGATATTATTTAGTCAGGACTCCCATTTCAAATCAGTGAAGTACATTTCAGAATAGTTGGTATAGGATTGGCCTGTCATAGAATCATAGAGTTGGATGAGACCTAATGGACCATCTAGTACAACCCGCTGCCATACATGAAAAGCACAATCATGTACGCCTTTCATATCGAACAAACCTCCTTCCAACCAAAGGCAGAGTTGTGTGCTAACGTATTTGAACTTAAAGCCTCTTCAGTACTCAAACTAAGGGTGCATCTACCCTGTATAACAGCGTTTCTCTACCTTCCTAATGCTGCGACCCCTCAACACAGTTCCACGTGTTGTAGTGACCTCCAAACATACTTTTTTTTTCATTGCTATTCATAACTGTAATTTTGCTACTGTTATGAATTGTAATGTAAATCTCTGATATCCAGGATGTATTTTCATTCACTGGACCAAATTTGGCACAAATACCCGATATGCCTAAATTTGAATACTGGTGGGGTTGGGTGGGGGTTTATTGATTTTGTCATTTGGGAGTTGTAGTTGCAGGGATTTATAGTTCACTTACAATCAAAGAGCATTCTGAACTCTACCAATGATTGGGAGTTATTAATTTTGTCTTTTGGGAGTTGTAGTTGCAGGGATTTACAGTTCATGTACAATCAAAGAGCATTCTGAACTCTGCCAATGATTGAATTGGGCCAGACTTGGAAAACAGAACTCTCATGACCAGCAGAAGGAAGGAATTGGTGGGCATTGACCTTGAGTTTGGAGCTGTAGTTCACCTACATCCAGAGAGCACTGTGTACTCAAGCAATGATGGATATGGACCAAACTTGACACGAATACTCAATTTGCCCGAATGTGAACACTGGTGGAGTTTGGGGGGGGGGGGGGGGGTTGAAGTTGGTGAGATTGTTCACCTACATTCTCAACCCCACAAATGATAGAATTGGGGCAAACTTCCCACACAGAACCCCTATAACCAACAGAAAATACTGTGTTTCCTGATGGTCTTTAATGAACCCCATGACACCCCCTCGTGACCCCCACCCACTGGGTGCCAACCCCCAGGTTGAGAAACACTGCTTTAGAATAATGTAGTTTGTCATGACTTTTAACTGCCATAGTTCAATGCAGTGGATTCCAGGGTGTTGTAGTTTTGAAAGGTCTTTAGCCTTCTGTGCCAAGGAATTATGGTGCCTCACCACACTGAAACTCCCAGGATTCTGTGGCATTGAGCAAAAGCAGTTAAATTTGTGTCAAACTGCTCTAATTTCACAGTATAGATGCATCCTGAGTGTGGGAATCTGGGTGCATGTATGTGTGTGGGGAAGGGCAATTCTTTTGGTATCTTTTGTGGGAATTTCTTGGCAGCTGTTACAAAGCATCCCACCAGTCTGTCATTGAACTCTTGTGCAGGGGAAATGTCGGTTGGATGCAGTGCTGGCAAAGAAATCGCCTTCTGCAAAACGAGGACCAGATAACTTTATTAAAACGAGGACATTTGAAGCTCACGGTCTCCCTTTCGTGAGTTCGTATGAAAATTCCAGAGAGGAGGAAACTTTGCAGAACGTTTCATGCAGTGTTTACAACGGCTAACTCAATTAGAAACCACACAAGAGCCCTGCTGCCATTCAGCTGTGTTTCCCTACAGGCTGCATTATATAGCTCTCCAACCAGTCCCACAACGCTGGGAATGATGTCATGGGATCAGTTCAGGGAGATGAAAGGCTGAAAGCGGAACCCGCTGGCACTGGGGAAAGCTTCCAACACACAGCTTGAGAACAAAAAGCAAAGAAAGAAAAGCCTACAGATCCAGCCATTCAGCTCCAAGAAGCACGACTTTTCCCAACCAAAAAAATATAAAAAAGGAGGGCAGATGGACCTATAGGGATGAGTTTTGATGCAAGGCGCTTGAGAAAAAAAGAAAAGCAAGCCAGCAAAGAAGGAAACATAACTACCTGCTGAAAAGAAAGTTCTTTCTCTCGTCTCCAAAGCCCAAGCCTTTGATGTATGGCAACAGATCACTGATCAGATTACAGGCATTGGGTTTCACTACTCGTCTGCCTTTGATCTGCATGCTTAATTTTATTTTCCTGGATTTGAAGGTTGCCTGGGCTTGTGCTGACATACTTTGAAAGAGAGAGAGAGAGAGAAAAAAGCAGATGAAGGCATTTTATACAGAAGCTCTGGCAGAGTGAAATTCAGTTGCAAGAAAGGGTGGCTGTTGGATAAGTCTCAGCCTACATCAGGTACTGTACTTTTAAAACTTTTGTTTCAACTTTTATGTTGCACTGAAGGAATGCCAGTTTAGGAAAACTGATTATATGAATTGTCTGTCCATCTTTTCCTGCTTCACGATTGGCATCTGAACGTCACAAATAGATTAGTACCAGTTGTTTTTGCAAGATATCATTGTGCAATATTCTCCAAGTATGTTTCGGGGGGGAAAGTGGAAGTATTTGTAGTTATTTTGATAATAGTAAATGTGTGTTTCTCAACTGGGAGTTCCTTTTAAAAATGCATATCTAAACATTGATTTTCAGAGCGTTGAGATTTAGAGTATATGCGAAGATTGTATTATTTTCTGCATGCAGTTTTGCAACCTGATTGATATAGATCAGGCATGGGCAAACTTTTGGATTTCAGCTCCCACAATTCCTAACAGCCTACCGGCTGCTGAAGTCCAAAACACCTGGAAGGCCAAGTTTGCCCATGCCTGATATAGATGGTATGTGTTTAGTTGAAATTATCTGAGAACCATAGCATGACTTAGTGAGATATCAGTGAAATTCAAATGAAAAGAAATGTTTAGAAGTGGGTTTTTTTGGTCTGTGCCGAGAGTAGTACTATTCTGATGCTGTAATTCTTAGTTTGTTTACTGTGAGATGAATTCCATTCAGTTTGGTGAAGCTTACTCACAAGTATGCCGTATTGTCACCTACTGTGTGGATGCCTGATATTGTTGTAGGATTGCATACCCTGGCTCCAATCCAAGGGTCTTCGTATTCTCACTCGGCCAAAAGGTCAGGTTCTCCAAATGAATGAACGGCCAGGACAGCTCCACATGTGCTGCAGATGATGGAATGAATGGGGAAATCCTTTCATATTCTTAAATCTTCATGAACAATAGATGCTCCTGTGCATGCCAGCAATTTACTATGGAATGTAAATGACACATATATTTGGTCTTTCTAACTTATGGCCACGTAACATCCATGACTAACAAATATACATTTATGTAAAAATTGACATTAAAATTGGCATTTTTTAAAACCCTCTAAAATTAGGGCAGTAAATAAAGAGGAATTCTAAAAAAATAAAAAACAACAACAGGGGAATTCCTGGCATGAAACAATCATGTAATCCTCCAGGTTACAGACAGTATTTGACAATATGAGTATGAAGTCAGTTTAATATAATTGTTTGAAATTTGGCATTATGAATATATTATAGGAATAGTTGGACAACAGCAGGTAAGTCAGTATTAAACTTGAATGTACTGTATCTTTAATACAATTGTTATTCTCGGGGTTTTTTAAAACCAATCATGGCCAGCTAACACCTCCCAACAAAGGATTCCCCCAGGCAGGAAGCAGCAAAGCTTTGAAGCTGCAAGACCATTCAATGCTAATCACGGTGGCCAATTCACACATTCACACTTGGCTCAAGCAGACAAGAGTTCTCTCCCCCACCCTGGACATTCCACAGATATATAAACCTCACTTGCCTAGTTTCCAACAGACCTCACAACCTCTGAGCATGACTGCCATATATGTGGGTGAAACGTCAGGAGAGAATGCTTCTGGTACATGGCCACACAGACTGGAAAACTCATAGCAACCCATTGACATTTCTGTATCACTATCTCGATCCTATGCATATTTACTTTGAAGTAGGCCCATTCAAAGGTTAAGCTTCCATTGAAATAGAGGCACCAGAGGTTTTTTTTAAAATGGGAGTGATAGCTGGAGCATGGTAGAGTTTTATAAAACTACCCATGGCATGTGGAGAAAGGGATGTTTTTCTCCTTTTTTCCATCAATATATCAAGTACGAGATTATGTAGGATCTTAGAAGCTAAGCAGGGTCAGCCCTTGTTTGTACTTAGATGGGAGACCGCCAAGAAATTTTAAGTGCTGTAGGCTACATTTCCAAGGAATGAACTGCCAGAAGCATCTCTGGTTCCATGTTAACTGACATATACAATCCAGATTATCTGCTTTGAATCTGATTTTTTTTGGCAGTGTAGACTCATCTAATCCACTTCAAAGAAAATAATCTGGATTATCTGATTTGATCATCTGGATTATATATGGCAGTGTAGATCCAGCCACTATGAAATTGAGGTCGCCATCAAAAGGCAACTTGAAAAGCTACCCACACACAGGGTTTACTTCCTTGCCTTTAGATAATGAAGGGTATTACTTAATGCCCTTGGGGACAGAGGGTGGAACATAAAGTTTTATTATTAGTTTATACTATTATTATTACATTCTCCCTTTACGAATAGGAGAGTGACACACATTTCTTAAAATTCAGTAAATTAGGATGGATCTGCTGTACTATATAATCCAAATTATCTGATTTAATCTGAGATATATGAGTCTACATTGCCATGTAATCCGGTTCAAGGTAGATAATCTGGTTTTTATATGGCAGTGTACATGGGGACTCAGGGCTCATCCACACAGCCATATAACCCAGAATATCAAGGCAGAAAATCCCACAATATCCGTTTTGAACTGGGTTATCTGAGTCCACACTGCCATATAACCCAGATAATGTGGGGTTTTATTCAACTGTTTAGAAGGGGCCCTAGTCTTTTAAACAGGAAAAATTGTGGGCTGTATTACATATGCATTTCTGTATTAATCAGAAACTACCTCCGTAAATAGTTACAACATTTGAAAAGGCTAATAAAGAACTTTGTTATTATTGTTGTTGAAGTTTGTAAAACCCAGGACATGTTAATGGAGGATTATCTGCTGTTCACATATTTTAATACTAAGTATCTGTTAAAGCTGCCTAAACACCATAAAGGCATCCGTTCCTGTTTGATCTTGGAAGCTAAGGAAGGTCAGTCCTGGTTAGTAAAAGAAGGCCCCTTCTACACTGCAATATAATCCATATTATTTGCTTTGAACTGGATTATATGAGTCCACACTGCCATATAATCCAGTTCAAAGCAGATAATCTGGATTTTATATGGCAGGGTAGAAGGGGCCAAAGAAACTGGCAAACCCCCTCTCTTTATTTCTTGCCTAAAAACGCTGAAATTTATGGGGTTTCCATTAGTCACATTCTCTCTGTGTTTTCTGACGTAGTTATTGAAGGAAACAGTATAATCAGTGCTAGGACAGTGTATTATGATAGCCTGTGTGTTGGATGTAATGACTGAGAAGGGTAAACGTTCACCAAAAGACTGTAATTTCTTCATTTAATAGCCACAGCCGAAGCGATTTAGGCCTCTATGCATGATTTACATCATTGTTTGATTTAACAGTTTTCTTCTTAAATAGCCCACTAGAGTAACGTGTTATTACTAATTCATCTCCAATCTGCTTATCTTCTTTAATATCCATTTTCCATAAACTGCTTTTGTTCCTTATTGGTATGTATGTATACATTAAAATAATTGGAATTTCAGCATTATATCTCCTTCCCATGACATTTTAAAGATTTGCAAACAGCTGATGACATGCATCTCACAGTTATTATAACTGCTTTTGTTCTAACACCCATGTGGACAATTTGGAATTTTGGAGCATTTTGCATTTTTGCACAAGTGATATTCAAGACAGTAACAGATTATTAGGTAAAATAAAGGTTTTCCTTGATATTAAGTCGAGTCATTAACTCTGGGGGGGTGGGGTGGGATTTCCATTTCTAAGTCAAAGAGCTGGCATTGTCCGTAGATGCCTCCAAGGACATGTGGCCAGCATGACTGCATGGAGCACTGTTACTTTCCAGCCGAAGTGGTACCTATTGATCTACTCACATGTGTATGTTTTGAACTGCTACGTTGGCAGAAGTTGGGTCTAACATCAGGAGCTCATCCCGCTCCCTGGATTCGAACCGCTGACCTTTTGGTCAGCAAGTTCAGCAGCTCAGTGGTTTAACTTATGCATCCCTGGGGGGCTCCACACAGATTATTAGGCTTTGGCAAATCTACATGTTCTTAAATTGCATTCATACATATACATTCAGTAGCATAGGCGATTATCATATGTTACGCTACTTAAATATGGGCTGTATAAAAATGAAGCTTCCTTCATCAAAATGCATGTGAATATTATTCCAGTCAATAGGTTAATAATATTTTATGACAAATTTCTAAAGCGATTAAACTTCTAAAGGTATGACATGATATTAAACATTGAGAAAGTGGAGGAACGAAGAATAGAATGGGTCACCATAAGTTGATAACAACTTGATTATTACCAACAAAGCCCTATATGGTTTGGGTCCAACCTATCTTTGAGACCACATTTGCTTCTATGAACCGGCATAGGCCCAAATATCTGTCAGGGAGGCCTTCCTCTTGACCATACCTCTATCTCAAATGTGGTTGGTGAGGACAAGAGAGAGGGCCTTCTCAGTGGTGGCTCCCTGGCTTTGGAATGCCCTCCCTAAAGAGATTCGGATAGCCCCACTCTCCAAGTTTTCCGCAAACACCTGAAAACATGGCTTTTAAAGCAAGCCTTTGACTATGTTTAGTGATTATGACCTTAATCACTAAACATGATTAGGACTTTGTGATTTGCTTCAGTCTTGCACTTTACTGCATACATCCGCTATTTTCACAGCCTGCTGGGTTTTATAGTATAGTATCTTTTAAATAAATAGGGTGGTTTTTTTGCTGGTTTAATGTAAAATTGGGCTACTTTTATTATTGATTTTTTAAACTTTGTTGTATTTATATATTATTGCACTATTGAGTGCTTTCTTTGAGCTGCCCTGAGTCCCTCTGGGGCGATGGTGGCAGGATATAAATAAAGCTATTATTATTATTATTATTATTATTATTATTATTATTATTATTATTATTATTATTATTCTGACACAAAAACACAATATGACACAGCAATTAAGATATATATGCTGGATTTCGTATCACAAAATCACAAGTCTGCTGCTGTTGTTGTTGTCAATGATGATGACATATAGCAACCACGAAATATCCCACACAATTCTTTATATTTTAAAGAAATCATTCCAGTACAATGATAACAGCTACTTTTGTGACACAG